ACGAATATCCCAATCACGAATATCACCAAAACCAAATATCTTGCGACGTGCGCTTATATACTCTTCGCAAGCGTCGTTTCTAGATTCTTCCCGATGGTCCGATTCCAGCATACTCTAGAACGTTCCAGTCACTAGAACATTCTAGAATACGCTAGAATCTAGTGCGTTCGGTAGCACGGTTATAACAATATATATATATACTAGCTAAATATATATATATATATATATACATTTAAATTTTACAATTAAAGTGAAGTAAGGTGTGTGGAGTAAAATTATTTTGAATTCTCTCGGAATAATTTGATTTGAATCGCGCGCGTACATACACATGTAACAGATTTCTGTTGGTTTTATAAAGAAGTTATGTAATAAATATATATAAAGAATTTAGAATTCATGTATACAAATAATTACTAAGATTATATGTCTGCATAAAAAGAAATACAGCAGTTCCAACCAGTCAATCAATCAGAATGTTTCGAAGTTTGAGTAGCTCTGTTGTCAAGAATGTATATTAGTGTATTATATAAAATCAAAAACCAATAACATTCAAACAATAAAATTTTTGCAGATGTGAATGATTGAATTGATTGTAAGTATAATATATAAAAGAAATGAACTAAAAGAAATACATTTTTTTATTTTTCAATAGTTATGTGAAAAAGGAGTGATCTCGATTAAATTTGAATTCAACTAGCTAAACGTATACACATACTCGAGCCTTCCCATCAGGAAGTCAGTAGGCGGTCGTTGAATTCATTTTAGTATAGTTAATATATTGTTGTTAAACACATATAATAATGTTTCCTATACATTAAATAAAGTTTTTTAAAGATGTCAATGATTGAAATGATAAGAATATATGAATGGAACTGGTATAAATAGGAGCCGAAAATGCGTTGAAATCCGACCGGGCGAGTTAGGGCATTCCCTTAGCGCCTGGTCCCTTTTTTTTTTATTTCTTTATTTTATTTTTTAGTTAAGTTATTTATTATTTCTAGACTTGTTCATTACTTATTATTACTAGATTTGTTCGTTTATTTTATTCGTTACTTATTATTTCTAGATTTATTCGTTTATTTTAATCGTTACTTATTATTTCTAGATTTGTTCGTTTATTTTATTGTTATTATTATTATTGCGCGGTCACACATACACCCACACAAACAAACACACACACAAACACGCATACATACATATATTCGTTGTTTTGTTTGCAGCTTGATGTTTCATTCTCTTTTCCTTACTTTTTTCTTCGTAATTGTACAAATAGGTAGGATTAATTCATAAGTTGAGCTAATTGAACATAGGTAGGTGAGTTAATTTAGTGAACATAGGTAAGTTAGGGACTCTATTCTTTCTTTCTTTCTTACGTTCTAGTTTATTTGTATTGTATTGTTTTGTATTGTTTTTTGTTCAACACAACACCAACAGCAGCAATCAAACACAACAATCAACACTATTATTTTTATTATATGTTTAAGTTGTTTATTATTTCTAGACCATTCGTTACTTATTATTACTAGATTTATTCGTTTATTCGTTACTTATTATTTCTAGATTTTTTCGTTTGTTTTAATATTATTATTATTGCGCGGTCATACATACAAACATAAAAACACACACACACATACTCACATACATACATACATTTATTCGTTGTTTTGTTATCTTGATGTCTTATTCTCTTTTCCTTACTTTTTTCTTCGTAATTGTAGCACAAATAGGTAGGATTAATTCGTAAGTTGAGCTAATTGAACATAGGTAGGTGAGTTAATTTAGTAAACATAGGTAAGTTAAGGACTCTATTCTTTCTTTCTCACGTTCTAGTTTATTTGTATTGTATTGTTTTGTATTTTATTCTCTATTCTTTCTTTCTCACGTTCTAGTTTATTTGTATTGTATTGTTTTGTATTTTTTTGTTGTTCAACACAACACCAACAAAGCAATCAAACACAACAATCAACACAATATTTTTTTCGTTATATTTTAGTTAAGTTTAGTTAAGTTTAGTTAAGTTGTTTATTATTACTAGACCATTCGTTACTTATTATTACTAGATTTGCTCGTTTATTTTATTCGTTACTTATTATTTTGATTTATTTTTTTATTTTATTCGTTACTATTATTTCTAGATATATTTGTTTTTTAGAGTTTGCACACACAAACACACACACACACACATACATACATACATACATTCGTTGTTTTATTTGCTTGATGTTTTCTCCTTTTCCTTACTTTTTTCTTCGTAATTGTACAAATAGGTAGGATTAATTCGTAAGTTGAGCTAATTGAACATAGGTAGGTGAGTTAATTTAGTGAACATAGGTAAGTTAGGAACTCTATTCTTTCTTTCTTACGTTCTAGTTTATTTGTATTGTATTTTGTATTGTTTTTTGTTCAACACAACACCAACAGCAGCAATCAAGCACAACAATCAACACAATATTATTTCCGTTATATTTTAGTTAAGTTGTTTATTATTTCTAGACCATTCGTTACTTATTATTACTAGATTTATTCGTTTATTTCATTCGTTACTTATTATTTCTAGACTTGTTGGTTTATTTTATTGTTATTATTATTGCGAGGTCATACATACACAAACACGCACACATACTTACATACAAACATACATACATACATTCGTTGTTTTGTTTGCTTGATGTTTTATCCTCTTTTCTTTACTTTTTCTTCGTAATTGTTCAAATAAGTAGGATTAATTCGTAAGTTGAGCTATTAGGACATAGGTAGGTGAGTTAATTTAGTGCACATAGGTAAGTTAGGGACTCTTTTCTTTTTCTCTTACGTTCTAGTTTATTTGTATTGTATTGTTTTGTATTGTTTTTTGTTCAACACAACATCAACAGCAGCAATCAAGCACAACAATCAACACAATATTATTTTCGTTATATTTTAGTTAAGTGATTTATTATTTCTAGACATTCGTTACTTATTATTTCTAGACTGTCGTTTTATTATTAACCCCCTCACGAACGGCTGCCTTGACGTGGCGAGGGGGCTTCTCACTAAATGCCGTTCAAGTTAGTGCTTACTTCTTTACTTGTTTGTTTTGTTTAAAATGCGATTCTCTTTTGGTTGCATTTTTAGCGCACTCTCAAACATGGGTTTCATTAGCATTTGCAACGAATTACCCATCCTATTTAATAAATTTTGGTTGATGTTTTTTTAATTAGTCGGGTCACAATCATCATCATCGATATCGCAATGAAATCAAATTAAGAATTTTTTTCATTTTTGAAAAAGTATATTTATTCATTTTATGATACTACTTTGTTCAATAAGATACTGTTTGTTAAAAGCCATGCAATTTCATAAGCCAATAAATACAAGTAAGTCAAATAGTTCGTAAATTCACTTTTAGATTAATATTTTGAATTATCATTTGGAACTAGCGCCGGATTTAAAATTTTTAGGCTAGTTTTTAGGGTTTGAGTTTATTTTACTGTTTTTATTTTTATATTTTGTCACTAATTATCAATTCTTAAAAACTTATTATCATTGCCACTGCCTTCCGAATGTAGTACAACATTCAACATTATCTTTCCTAATCTATCGCTATCTATTCTATTCTGTTTTTTATTTTAATTTTCTATCTACCCATCTAGGCATCTATCTATCCGTCTATCTATCTATCTATCTATCTATCTCTATCTATCTATCTATCTCTATCTATCTATCTATCTATCTTTATCTATCCTATCTATCTATCTATCCTATCTATCTATCTATCTTTATCTATCTCTATCTATCTATCTATCTATCTTTATCTATCTATTTATTGATAGATAATTTGTTATTCATATTGTATTGTGATAATATTGTGGTATAATATCTGACAACTGCACAAAAGAAATTGACAGAGGGATATCAATAGCCCATGGAATGTTCACATCATTGAAGGAAATATGGAAAAGTGACAATATATCTATAAAAACAAAGTTGTGAATAATAGAATCTTGAGATTTTCCGAGCTTGCTCTATGGATGTGAGACAAGGACATTAAAGAAAAAAGGCAAAAACTGATTGGAAGCATTTGAGATGAAGCGTTACCGAAATTTGTTGGGAATCAGTTGAAAGCAGAAAATAAAGAACGAAACCATCAGAAATCAACTTGGAAGACAGAAAAGTTTATACTATATGACAAGGTCAGAGAAAGAACATTGGGATTTTTTGGAAAAATTTGTACAATGAGGGAAGATTGATTGATTGATGGTACTAATGAGGAAAAGAGATTGGAAGAAAAAAGTTGGTAGACCTGCAAAGAAATGGATAGATGACATTACTGAATAAAACTGGTGTTGGTATTCTTAATTTAATAAAACTGGCCAAAGATAGAAAAGGTTTTTGGAAAGAAAAAAAATGTAAAAAGCGGCTTTGATGTACACCATCGATCTCGACGGTCCCCTGGTAGACAAAGGAGGATCATTGATTGATTGATTGATAATATCTAATAGATTCTATCCTGATGAGATGATTGATAATTTATATTTAAAAATGAAATATTAAAATAAATAAAATTATGGTTTGCCTTTTGGCTTTCTGCTTTCTTATTCTTGCCACTGAGATGATAATTGAGAATTTTTTTAATAATTTTTTTTACTCACATTTTATTTACAAGGTTTGATATTAAAAAAAATGTCTGCTTCTGGGGATGAAAATTGTCCGCCACCATCTTCTTTCATTGTAAGCAACTTTGCCATCAAAAGTCCTTCGCCACCATCAGTTCTGGGACCCTCAAATAATTCTCAAAGAATGGCTTCCTTCCTGTCACCCCGACATGTTGGTGCTTTTTTGAAATGTGAATGATAAATGATGATGGTGATTAATAAAACTCAATGAATCAGTTGTTTTTGAATGCTAGCTAATACTCTTCAATCAAAGTTTTTAATGTCAGTTGAATAATTCAAATTCTGCTCTAAAATTTAGTTGTATACTCAGGTCTAAAGCTACAAAGATTTGAATGAGAAATAGTACTATTTTATTTTTTATTAATGATTATTTTAAGTTTTTAGTATTTATTATTTAATAATTTAATATTTGTTAACTAATGGAATTATGAATGGTGCACTTGCAACTCAAATTGGGGGGTGCATTTTATTTTCTTCCATATAAAAACAAAACTTTTTTGAAAAAAGCATCACTTGATATCTCCATTTGATTTGTTAACAACATTCATTAAATATTTCCTTTTCACTTTCATTGGCTTGACATCTATTTATCAAAACATGCAAATTTTTAACGTTTAATTCATAATTTTTTTCAAATGCACATGCACAACCATCGTCATATGCAGTTTCATTACACTGAACTTATTTTTTATCAGATGTGCTGGTTTACTTAAATGTTGTCTATGTGTGTTTATGTATGTCTGTGTGAGTTTGTGTGTGTGTGCATGTATGTGTGCGTGTGCGTGTGTGTGTGTGTGTGTGTGTGTGAGTTCATTCAAGTGGGTGAAAGCTATGAATGTTTAATAAGAGCTCTGAACAAGTCATGAAGTGCTGTCTAACAAAATTCATTCTTGTATAAACAACACATACATAAATATGTATGTGATATTAGTATTGTATAATGTATATATACAAACAAATGTGTGTGTGGTGTGTGCGTGTGTCTTAGTGTATTGAACAGAGCATTGCTATAAGCTGCTATTCATATTCAATGAGTTGTACAACATTACATCGCATGTTTAATACTCCATAAATAAATATAAATTATATATGTTGGTCCTACTGTTAATATGCTTAAAATTTTATATTGTCAATGTCTCATTCTACAAATTAAACTAAGTACAATCAAAGAAAAAACATACATGATGGCAATGCCTTGATGTGTTTTTTCTTAAATATTCTATTTAATCACTTTAATTAATTTAATGGGACAAGAAAATACGAAATCAATTGGCAGTAATACTACTAGCCATGATAGTGGTCACTGCCTCTTTAATGATAATAATAATAACATGAAAAATAATGAAACACATCTATCATCTAATTGTGGTACCGATACCTTGCAAGAAGATGATGATATCATGGATACAAGCAACAACAACCATTCAACAGATATTGATAATATTAACAATAACTATATAGGAAATATAATTACTAGTTATTATAATCCATCCAATCCCATTCAAGATGATGTTTCAAATGCATCCAATCGAATCCATGACATTTCCAATGTATCCAATCAAATAACATCTCTGGAATGCCCTGGCCTAAATTTAAAGAGATCTGATTTGATGATCTCGCTAAGAAGAAGGTCGCAATCATCACCTCTGCCCATTCTTCCTGTTATAGATGAGGACAAAGTGTTAACTAATTCTACTACTGCTTTAGATATTGAAAAATATATTATAAAAATCTCAACTAATAATTTAGAGAATACTAACATTTGTCATCAGGTTGCTGTTGTCAGTCCCATGATTTTGTTAAACTGATGGTTACTTTTCAGTTGTGGTTGTAGTTGTTGCTTTATTATTATTATTATTGTTGTTGTTGTTGTTGTTGATATTGATTCTTGTTGTGATAGTGGTGGGCGTAGTTGAAGTTATGCAACTCTTTTTGATAGTTTAACAAAATTGATGTCTTATTCTTTTATGTTCTGTAAAATATTTTGCATCTGCACACATTTGAAAGAGGCCCTTCAAATTTATTAACCAGTTTATAACGTTAAATATTTGTTTCATAGATTCCAAAGCCATCAGAAGATAGCATGGAAACGTTGGAAATGATGCCACAAGTTAGAAAAAAGTTGATAAACCCTTCAAAATGTATTGGATCCAACAGTGATTCAAGGTTTATTCAGAACTTATTTATTCCTTCATTAAATATTTTTTCATTCCTTTATTCAAAATTTATTTAATTCTTCATTCAAAATATTTTTATTTATTCATCCAATTTTTTTTTTAATTTTTTCATTCATTTTTTCATGTTAATCAATTTTTTCTATACGATCATAACATTCTATCAGTTATTCAACTCTCTAAGAGATGAATGAACAGTTGAATTTTCTTAATTTGAATTTAAATTTTGCTTGCCTGGACATTCAGAATATTTGCCTGAGTGAATGTTTGCTCTGCTTTCATTGAGTGAACCTCAAATATTTTTAATTGTAATCCTTAAAATTGTTTGCAGTAGTAAGAATTATGTGAGCATATCAAATGTTGATGAGATGGGAGAGAATATCGCAGAATATGTTGAAGTTACAGAAGTCAACTTTACATCAACCATCTCCAAGTTAGCTGATGACAACAACAACACTTACGTCATCAACAACGCTGACAAAAATGTTGATGACATTGATAACACCGACATCAACAAGACTGACAACAATGCTGATGTCACTAGCACTAATGACATCAATAGCGTCATTAATGTTGACAATGCAAACAATGATTTCAATTACAATATCATTGTTGATAACATTAATGCAAGTGTCAGCAACATGACCATTGATGAAAATGTCAAAAAGTTTGATGCTTACAACAACAACATCGGCCCAAGTACTGATTTTAAAGAGAGCACCATGTCACCGTCATCATCGTCTGAATTTTCGCAAAGCAATAACAAGTTCACTAATGACCATGATAACAACCGAAACAATAGAATGATTGGAGATAGAGTTCAAAATTTAGCATTGCATGAAGGAATTGAGGTATCTGCATTAACAACAACATTACTTCAAAGGTCAAATGAACAGCAACAACAACAATGCATCAACTACAAACTACGAACTGATGAATTTATGAAAATGATTGATGATATCATTGGCAGTTGTGACAATGTGAATGACAACATCAGCGACAATGAAAATACTTCAAAGGACGAGGCTCTTCATAGCGATGTTGATGTATGCACAAAACTTTTTGAAAGATTATCTGTTTGCAATTCTGATTTCAATAATTCCAATGTTAATGACGTTAACAATTCAACTGGTCCAAATAAGGTTGACACTAACAATTCCATTGATGCAAATAAAATTGACGTTGATAATTTAATTGATGCAAATAAGATTGTGGTTGGTAATTTAGTAGATTCAGAAAAGAATGATGTTGATAGTTTTTTTGATTCAGTTAAACATGAGGATGGTGTTATAAACATTGAGCCACCAATATCAAAAAATTATATTGATGATAATTCTAAAAATTGTTTCAAAGAATATAATGTTAAAGATGTTGATGCTGATTCACCAAATGATTCCTATAATGAGTGTTTCATTATCAACAAATCCAATCAGCCAGCTGCCGCAGAACATCAAATTGAAACTACAAACTGCAATATTGACAACAAAATAAAGGACATCACCAATGATAACAATAATAATGACAATAGCCACAATAACAATGCTAGTAGCAACATCGAAAATGACAACAACGATGCTAGCAGCAATGACGACTGCAACAATTTCGTTACAAATTCACTCCCAACTGTTAAGAAATCATTTACTAAAGATTTTGAAGGGCTTGACATGAACTCTGACCCGAGCAGATTGGGTTTTGATGTTGTGTCAAAAACAGACAATGATGATGGTGACATTCATATTGCTGATGTTCTCTCGTCAGATATGAATGTTGGTTGCATGGAAGTTGAAGAACGTGGTGGCGAAGAGAAGGTGAAAAAGTTAGGTGGGCTGATTAACAGAACATTTGGGGAGATGGATGATAACAATGATGGCCTTGGGGCTCTCAGTTCAAGTGAGATAAGATCAGATGATGTTGTAAAATTTAATGAAATGAGAATGGATGATGATTCAAAGATAGTAGAAGTTATTCATACTACTGTTTATGAAAGAAAGGATGAGATTTATGACAGTGCAGGTGCTGTAGGGAGCGTTGATAATACTGGAGATAGTAAGTGTAATGTTGAAGACATCAGGGAAAATATTTTTGTTTCAAACTCACCTCCAATCACAAAGAAAATTGTTGCAATTGATTTTGATAAGTTGGATATTGATTCAGACCCAACTAAACTAACCAGCATGTTGACTGATGGAGTCTTATCTCAATATGGTACTAATCAAACAGAGGATGTGGACAAAATGAAAAAGCATTGTGGTTTTGTGAGCAATTCAGATGGTGTCAGCATGAACAATTTTGAGATAGTTAACAATGAAAAGAAGAATCATATTTCTCCAGATGATACAAAAAAGTTGTTCAATACCACTTTAAAACAACTCAGCTGTGAAAACAAGTGCCACAAAAATAATAATTTTAAGGATGATGATGAAGTACCAATAAGTCCTGCTGCTGTGGTGAATAAACCCACTGGAATGAATATGTCCAGCAATTTTAATACACGTGTATTAAAGTTATCTACTGAACAATTAGAGACAGCTGCTGATCAGAAAGAAGCCTTTGCTGAATCACGGCCATCATCACTCAGATCATCATCTCCGGCACTGATGCCCCCTACCCATCCAATCATAAATTGGGATCATATTGATGAACATTCAGATCCCGCACTCTTTTGCAAGTCATCATCGTCATCTTTTATCATTAATACTAATAATAGTGGTGATAATTATAAAAACAAAAATGATGATGATTATGATGATAAGGGTACCACTAAGGATAATTTTAAAACATTATCACCCACAAAAGTCACTGAGGTACTGGTCTTTTTTTCAGTTCACATGTTTTAAAGAAATTTGATTTAATGAAATCAAATCTTTTTCAGAAAAGGACGACTATGAAGAAAAAGTCAGTTGGGCCACCAAGACATGCGAAAGATGGAGAGAAGAAGTGTGCTGCTGAATGTAGTGCCGGAACAACTGATGATAAGTTGGAAAGGTAAAATCTTATTTCAGCACTTGCTTGAATTCTCCACATGTACTGTATTTAATGCATTCCTTAATTGGGCTATAGATTTCTCGATCTATTATTTAGGTTGTCCTTGTCATTTTAAGTATCAATAACATATTTACACGCTATCCTTTTACTTTTGAAATAATAGCATTTAAGTTTTAATCATAAACAAATTTTTATTTTATTTCAGTAAGAAACCTCCAGTAAAAAGATTTCAGAGACCTGTGAATTTAACAAAATTGGTGAGTTTCACATGGCAATGCTTTTAGGATTTTTATTTATTTATTAATTAATTAATTAATTAATACTCTTTTCTGGGACTTGCTACTCATTTTTTTTTATTTTTGTTAATGCTCATATTAAAATTATCAGACAGGCAGTGCTGTCGGCAAGAATAATTGCAATGATGATGAAGATGTTTTAATCCTTTTGCCTCCAAGCAAAAACTCTTTAATAACATCATCAACAACAACAACACCATCGACGATGACATCATCAGCAATGGCAAGAACTTCTTCCTCTTCTCCATCATCCCATCTCAAGAATGTTGATTCTATAAACATTGGTGAAGTGAACGTAGACAATCAGTTGGATAGAGTTCAACAATCGGACTCAAATTCACTGAATCATTTTGCCTCATCATCATTTTTAGATACATCCCTATCATTTGACACTATCAAAGGTTCGGATGGGAACCTTTCAATATCAAGCATCGAGCCATCTTCGTTAAATCCAGTTCTGTGCAGTAGCATACTCGAATCCGACCTACAAATTAATTGTGTCAAACTGAGTGATGACTCCATTCCTAATGACACCATTAACAGCTGTAATGACGTCATCAACGATAATAGCAACAATAGTGGTAACATTAGCAACAATGTTAGCAACATTAATAAACTTGATATTTCAAGAAGCAGCAACCGAAAAATGAATGTGATGAATTTCAGTGTTGAGGAGATGAAAAATTTTCTAAAATTACCAGGACCTGCCATCACTACTTTTGCTGCTACTACAGCAGCTACTGCTGATGGTGCCACTGATACTAATGTTGATATTTTTGATCGAACTCTTTGTGAAAATGATGCAAGCATGCAGCAAACAGGTGTGGTGGAGTTGGGTAGTGTTCTTATTAATGAACATGAGGGCAAACCCACTTTTAAAAGTGCTTCTGAAGGTTTATTTTCATTTATTTGTTCGTTTGTTTGTTCTTTCATTTGTTCGTTCGTTCGTTATTTCGTTCGTTTGTTTGTTTATGAATTTAAGTTGTGGTAAAATGAAATGTTTGGCAGTTTTTGGTGATCCTACTCAGTGGGACGTCCTGGAAAAATATACTTCAAAAATGGTTGGTTAAATTTTCCTCTTTCACTTTTACTACTCATTATCATGATTATGTTTTAATATCACGAATTATGATCATAATGGGTTTGATGATGATGGTGATCTTGACAACATACTGACACACAGGCTTCCTAATTGCACATAAATATTTTTTTAGATATATTTTTAATAACAGAATACACAACAGATTTTAGATTTCTATGTCATAATTAAGAATCGCTGGTATTGAGGAGAGCAGGTTGCTTTTAAAAAATCCAAACTGCAGCTATCGTTTGCCTTAGTATTTATTCAAATTTCCCAAATAAAACTTTATTAGCTGAATAACTGACTTTTTTAAGATTTAAATTTAAGAATTGGTGCGAATATTTACTTTTTAAGAAAACATCGCGTTTGAATTGGATGAATATCATATTCAATTTCAAATCGTTCTTGACAAATAAACCGAATTTGACAACACGTTCCTTAATGTCGATCGTTCATTGTTCATATGCATGGATAAAATACGAACGGATATGCATGGTTACAATATAAAAGGAGTGGCTCCCGTTGTCAAACTCGTTATTCGTGAAGGACTCTGCACGCCATTCTGTTTATGCTCCAGCTTGCCAGAAGGAATTTTCGCCTACATTATTCAGTGTTTATTTATTGTTTCGAAAGTTTATTATTATTTATTTATTGTTGATTTATTTATTTATTTTTTTGGCACGGCAACTTATGTAGGAAACAAACTCATTTGTTTAGCAATCTGGTTATTTATTGAATTAAGTGGGTTAAAGAGTGGCATTTAAAACGGCAAAGTTTTACACAACAATTTGCTAGCTGAATTTTTGTATAAAACTTTATCCTATATTATATTGAGTCGTAAAAATGTTTTAAATAAAATAATTAAATAAGTTATGTTGTGTAGCCAACAGTTTAGCTAGTAACAGGGATAGATTGATAGATTTCGTTTAAACACGCTCAGGCATAACTTCATAAACCAGGCCAGCGCTGGCAAGCATGAACATAAATAGGACTGTAAGATCCTTAACAGTAGTGCTTTTTAAGTATGAAAGCCATTTTTCTACAAAATAGTACTCGTTATAGTCCATTAATTTATTTTATTTTCCATACCTTTCACGCTTAACTATTTTTTTTCGTTATTTCTTTTTGGCTATCATTTTATATTATTGCCTTGCATGCTGTAACAGTTTCTGCGTCTGTCAATTAAAAAAATTTTTGAAAATGAGTTGAAACTTGAGAGAACTTTAAGGTTGAAATCTAAAAGATTTGAACTTGTCTGTTATTCTATTCAAATGAAAGGTTTACATATATATCACACTTAAATTGATGAAAGTTAAATAATTGAATGTTCCTTTAAAGAGCCGAAGTTAAATGCTGCAAAGTATTAGTATGAAAATGTCAATTTGTTCAAAATTTTGAAAATGGTAAAACTTTGAAGATATACCTTAATTTCTTTCAATTAATTTTGTAATCCACGATCGATTTCGCAATTTCGATGGATCTTCGGTTAAGGAAATTTGAAAAAAATGTTCTTGACACTAATAGTGAAGTATGTTGATGATGTATATGATATATGATGATAGTGATAAGGGTGATGATGATGATGTTGATGAACAACAAAAACAACAGTCTGATGATTCAGTCCTCGTCAGAGAATCACTCTATGTCAGATTTGACCCACTTGTCAGTAAGCCCATCAAACCAGGTTGACGATGTTCTTGATGATGATGGTGTATTTCTTGTTGATGTTGTCTATGGTTTTGTTCATAATGCTGTTCATGATATCCCCTTAGTGATGTTTCAATAGTTTCCACAACTGTCAATCATTGACGTCTTTCAAATAATTTAATCTCATTGAACAAACATTCGTCCAACTCGCAGAAAACCTAACAAGCAAAAGGTTTTTCAAAGAACCTTCCATTTTATCAACTTCGGAGAGTTCTGGTACCAATGATCTGCTACTACTGACCAGTCCACCTGATCGTCAACAAAGTCACAACAACAACGAAATCACAACAACATCCAAAACATCAACAAATATTTCAAAAGCAGATTTGAATAATGCATCGAGTGATGAAGCATATGCCAGCAAAGTTGATCGAATATTCGAAAGCAGTCCTCCTACATCAAAGATATTAAACCTGGTTTGTTATTTCAACTTTCAAGTGTGTATGTATGGTTTTTATTTGTTTATTTTAAATGAAGTTGTTTTATTTAAAACAATATTCATCATTAACAATTGTGAAATTAAAAATCTAGGGAACTTGAAATGCATTCATATAATGTTTTCAGGCATACCCAATATGTGTAAGCGAAGAAGATGTTGACACCTCACTGCAGGTTTGTTCGTTCATTCATTAAACATTCTCTTATTCAATCATTTGTTCGTTCCTTCGTTTATTCTCTCCCTCACCGACATTCCAGGTTTTGAAATATTCACAGACCGACCTGAACAAGAAGCTGAAGGAGTTTGAACTGCACTATCAAGCCAAAATGCTTAGAGTTGAAAGGAACTGGGCGCTCAAACTCCAAAATATGGTCGAAATCTTTGAATTATTTATTAAAATGTTTCTATGTTACTGTTGCTTTTCAGTAAAATAAAAATCTGTGCTAAAGTTCTAAACCATATCATTTGAATTGCTTTTATTTAAATTATTTTTATTTATTTATTTATTTGTTCATTCATTTATTCATTCGTTCATTCATTAGAAAGAAGAACACAGCAAGTTAGAAACTTTGCACAATGAAGAGATGAAGAAGAAGAACGATGAGATTGATAAGTTGCTTGAAAAAGGACTCGTGCTTAAGTAAGTTTTAATTGATTGATCGATGGAATGGCAGGTAGATAGATTGATCAAGTGATCAGTTATTTGATTGATTGTCTAACAGATTAATGTGTAATAACATATTTAACTTTTAAGCTTGAAAAATTTCAGAAATGTCATGCACGAATATGAGGAAGTTATGAACAGACTCATCAGTTTGTATTTTCAATTGTATCATCCTACTTTACTAACATCTCATTTCACTCAATCACATCACACTTTTTACATTTCATCGTATTGCAGTGCCTTACATTACATCAACAATTTTGTTTTTCATTCATACATAATTTTGATAAAATTATTTATTTTGATTTGTTTCATTTAAAATTATTTGACTTGTCATTTTTTGTTAAACTTTCTCGTTCAGTTGAAAATGAAAAGTCAAAGGAATCATGCAATGGAGTGATGGTCGACCTGAGGAGAGAGAGGGACCAAGTAAGTGAACTATCAGCACCAGCAACAAGAAGATACATACACGGCAATTGTTCTGAGACGTTTTATTTATTTGGCACTTGCTGCGTGGGGAACGATGGATTCTCTGCATTTAAACCTGGTCACTGCAAGACGAGATCAAGCGCTTTAAATGATTGCTGCAAACAGTACAGATCGTATCACCCATCACAACAGCTTCCTGTAATCCCAATTGAATTCGTATCGACTAAAAACTTTTAAGATGAAAAGTATTAATCAAATAATCGATGGTTCGCTCTTAGCATTATTATGATGGCCTTTGTAAGCTCTTGGTGAATTATGATTAATAATATGAAATATTAAAATATTATAATAAAGTAACATAATAACATATGAACGCACACGTAGGCGTTGGATGATTTGCAATCTGTAGAAACAGCATTTTCAGACCTGCACAAGAGATATGAGAAGTGCAAATCCGTTGTTGATGCCTACAGAAAGGTTGTACGCATATACACAGCGATTTGTACATTATCATCCACAAATATGAACTATGTTATGTACATTTGTACATTACCATCCACAAATATGAACTATGTTATGCCAATTTGTAAAGTTTTATAAAATAATTTCTAATTGATTCACAAACCGGTTTTGGAAACTTTTTATTTTCTACTGGTTCCAACCTTGACAGCATTGCTAATAATAAATGTTAAATGCATTTATATACTAATGCAAAATAAACGATGCACTGTACACAAGCATTAATGTTGTTTCAGAATGAGGAAACGTTGAAGAGTTGCATGTTGGACTATCAAGAAAAGCTTGTCAAGAATGATGAAAAGTACAAAAGCTTCAAACAGATGGCTGAACAGAAAATAAACTTGTAAGATTTTTGTTTCACTTTTTTTTACTATTTAAAATTTTATCTTCATTTAACTATTTCAAACCATATTATTTCTTTCTCATATTTGACATAATTTTTAATTCATTTCTTTTCATTTATATTGTTTAATCATTGTGCTTGGTTCTTAATGAGCGATCTTCGTACGTCGTCTGTTTGACCGGATTCGTGGCAAATTCTTGCTTTTCTGGCAACCTTGTTTTGAGGGCAGATTATGCGGTCAGTAGCATCCAGTTCATCGCTCGCCGATATCAGGGAACAAGGAGACTCTAATACGAACAACAAATTGTTGAAGAAATAATTTCATCATTACATAAAATAATTAAATCAGAGCCAACGCTGAAATAGATAAAGTCAAGAAATCATCAGATTCAGAAATCAAGGTGTTACAAATTGCTATCAGGAAGTTAGAGATGAAGGCCGAGGGGCTTCAAAAGTCCATTGAACAAAAGGTTCTTTTTGATCATAATTGTTAATACCTACTATTCAACAAAAGTTTATTTTTCTTCTAAATCCTGAAAAGTAGATTGTAAAACCTTTGCAAGCCGATAAAATAATCTGATTACTTTCTTCTAAGCTTGCCGTGTTATGTGTGTAGTGATGTCTTCGACTAGTTGCATGCAGATATAAACGCATCTTGTGTTGTAATTGATGTTGCATATCCCGGCCTAATGCTAATTAATGCATTTGCGCTCTATAATTTTCCATAAAACAAATTCATATTCATATAGTCATTTCTACCACCGCAGACCTTGGAGAACACTGAACTTACAGCCATTTGCGACGAATTACTATCGAAAGCTAAATAGTTGAATTATGTATGAATAATGATATAATTATATTAATGAATGTGTCAGTTTATTGCTTCACTTGTTCGTTCATTCGATTTGGTTTTAACTCGAGCCTTGCTCTGGAATAAGTTTTTTATGTTATAGTTATATACAATTAAACATTTATGTAACAAACGCTCGTAAGTGTTGATAATAATGATGATGTCATTTGTGCAGTGCCCTAAGCATAGCGTCAGAGGCGCCCGGATAAGCAAATGTCAGCACGGCCAGCATGACATTTTTTTATTACTGTTCGAACAGATACTGTTTCAATCGCTTCTTAAACATTTCTATCGATGATTGTTGACGGATGATGATTGGCAAACTGTCCCATATTGTTAAGTAAGTTTGCTGCGTTCTTCCCGGTAATCTCATATCCGACCAGTTTCACTGAGCCATTATATATTCAAAGTTGACTTGGAATCGCCTAGATGAATGTCATTTTGTCAATGCGTCCTTTTCATTTCACAAATGTTGAATATATTTTCAAATTAAACGAAAAACATTGCTGGTACAGTAGCCCAGTTTTGTTGCTTATTGTGAAGTTTCGACGGTAACTTGGTCTGACGAATGCCGCAGGTTCGCGAAAAATATCGTTGTGCCCGACTGAATTAAACGTCTCAGCAAACTGGCGAGTCATTTGCAGTGGCGGATTTAGACCACTTTGGCTGGGGGCCACAATTTTTAAAATGTTCAAGTTTATTATATTATATATTGGACGTCGCGATCGCAAAGTGTCTGTGATGCTTTGTTTCACAGTATTTACAGGCACTGCGTGTTTATTGCTGTGCTGATATCTCTGAAAATATTGCAAAGAGAAAAGCAATAGATAAATAAAAATAAATGAATAAATATTGTAATCAGCTTATGCTTTAAGTTAATCTTAATATAGATTGAATAAAGTAATTGAAAGCGTATGTGAAGTTTCTATCAATATTTTCAATTTTAAATCGTAAAATTGTTCTTCATAAAAAAATATTTTATCACAAAAGAAAAAATTATATAAAAAGTAATGTCAGTTGGAATGTCTGGCGGGGCACACGCGTCATCACACTTGCGTACATTTGTTGTACAACATTCATTCATTTTGTAACACTGTAAATTCGAATTATTATATATATTCTGTATCACTTGTTTAAAAAGCTGGAGAGCGTATACTGAACACGAACATTCCATGTTGCTATGCACAACTGGCTAAATAAAAACGTCAAAATACGTGCGGCCAAAAATTTTAACAAGGTCATTCACAGTTGAAGTAAAAAGAGAAATCTTACTAACATATTTAAATGTTATTACTACAACATTACTACAGATATTATGGCAATTTGTTGCATTTAGGCTTTAGGAAAAAACCTAAAGAAATAAAATTAATTGGACCTTATATCAACAACTTCATCTAGTCAGTTACTAGGGTGGTTGCTACAAACGTCAACTTTGGAAGCAGTATCAGTAGTTTTACTGATAATCGTACTACAACTACTAATAATAGCAGGGCCAGTAGTGGCAGTGCTAGTAGTCAGGTAGAGAGACTCCTTAATAAATAAAGGGATTGAAACTTCCTGTGCTCCATGTCTCTGGTCATTCATCGAACGACATTGAATGTCCAGTATCATGTCCAGTAAGCGATCATCTGTGTGCACGTGTGCGAGCGTGTGTGTGAATGTTAACAAAAATTACCATGATAGAAACAAATGAGATGATAAACGAAGTAGAATAAATAGAAAACCATTGAACTCCGATGTTTGGTACAATTCGGGATTTGAAATTTGAAGAACTTTAGAGGATGATGATGAGCAATCTTTCTGCTGCTGTGATGTTCTACCGCTCTTGTCTGGCGAGTTTCGTCTGATAAAGTTCAAGATGCTTGACCTGCTGCTGCTGTTGTGTTGGTGGAGTTGTTGTTGTTGAGAGTTGTTCGAATCACCGCTGCTGTACAATGTTGGCGGTGGGCGGTCCTCTGAATGGTCAGCCAGATTTTTAAATGATTTCGATAGTTGAATCTGTCCAATACGTGTGTTGAGATTATCTGAATCATCGATCGATCATTATCTGCATCAAATTTACATAACACCGTTCCAATAAAATTTGTGTAGCGCACTAACGAGCTTGAGTGCATACACTTGAAACAACATGTCAGACACTTGAGTTGAGTATACAACATATTCAAACTCAGTAACAAACTTAGAGCGACAGACTGAATACATGTTGATGACGCAATCTAAACACAACTGATCAACTTACATCGTTAATATTGCAGACGCCGAGTTCATCAAATGTTATGTAATTTAAATAAGCGGGGTTCCAACGGACGCAATCATCAAAAAGATTGTTCAAGAGTTGATGGGCTGCTGATATAAATAAATCCTGTGATTTCCCAGCTGGTTCCATTTTCGGATTCAGAACCGTTGGTGAAAATAGTTTTGGGGAACAAAGATCTAAAATTTTGGTGAAAATTTTGAATGATGTATTTAGAAACTATATAACTTTTTAGAATATTATTAAAATGTAATAATTTATTTAGATGTTCGTTAAATTATAAAAACATTTTCAAGATGTTATATAATAATCAAAACGCTATTAAATTGAAATAAAAACTTCAGTACTTCGACCATAATTTTGAATAAGAATAACACATAGCAATAATATGAAATGGTTCTAGAAGAAACCCACCATTCATGAAGGTCAGACCGAGTTCGGTGAATGAAGATGAAGGATGTTGTGCTGCATGCTGTTGTTTCAGATGGGCAACGACGTGTTTGCAGTTGACAACGTCAACCATCACATCTGCACTAAGCTCCACTGTCGAGCCTGCCTTAAATATTATAAACAACAACATCCCATTTTCGTTGTTATTATTTTTGTAATGTTCACTAATAAACGAGATCATTTGATTAATGAATAATGTAATAGCGACTTATTTTTGTTACAATAATATAAGCAAACAATTAGCAGTATGCAGTCTTGGATGCGGAGATGATGTTTCGCGGATGTCCTCTCGACAGCCTCAACGAGGCTCACATCCCTGCTGCACTTTACGAGGAACTTTGCATTGTTCCTAGATGGCACGTCCAGACGAAAGATGGCACGTTTGATGAGGGTGATGCCGTTTTTGTCTGCAGACTGTCTGACATCTATTATGTCTGCGTCTATATTTATTGTCTGGTGGGTTGGATGTTTGGTTGGTGTGTGAGTCACTCAAATATGATAAAGATGGAGATAATAGTGAACGAAAAAATGAATATACGAATGATTATATTTGAAAATAAATGAATAAATAAACCAAATATGAATGAACTAAGTGAATAAATAAAAGTCTGAAATGAATAAATAAACTGGGATGAAAAAAAGATAGAAGAAAGAATTAACTGACATTGTTAATTGAGGCATCGATCAAATCATAAAAGAGGAAACCAGGTTTCATCACGTGCTGGTTGTCTATGAGAACATCTCTCAAACACGTCACTTTGCTTGCGTCATAACTCAATGTAATTGTTGTTGACGTCATGGTTGATGATGATGACGTTAACGATGACGCCGTGATATCACGAGATGACAATGATGATGATGATGGTGACGATGATGGCGATGTTTGGTAAGTTAATTTGATCACATTGATCTGCAGTTGTGAAGACGATTTGTTGAAAAATATTTAATCAATCGTTTGAATAAAGTTAGTGATTTATTTTTCAAATGTTGACACAGACAAAAACTACTCGACATAAACACAACCACAACAAAAACAACAACAACAACACAACGAAATATTACAGACTTAGCAAACAACGTTACAACAAATATAGATGCACTGCACATGCTAGTGAAGAAGACCTCACATGTCTGCTGCTGTGATTGTTGTTGCTGCTATCCAATGATGTCATCGATTGCTTGCTGTTATTTGCAAAGAGCAGATGGTTTCTAATATCTGGACTCGTTATACTCTTGCAAAATTTGCCTTTCAAAATGAAACCATCAACAAATTATTAGTACTGTGTATCACTTCACCATCATTAGCAGAACATACGTTTATTCCAGAACATCAAAGATTTCCTCCTTCTCGCTCCTTGCTGCCCCTTCAACTGTTCCACAAACGTTCAACTCACAATCAATTACAAGTTAAAAGAATACATTATTTTTAATTAATTAATTATTTAAAAAATTATTAAATGACGGTAATAATAATTTCAAACGTATAATTAAAAAGAATTAAAAATGAATGAGATCACAGAATGTTACCTTGATAGGTTTTGAAGAGTTGTCATTCCTCCTCCCTTCTTGCATTCCACTAATCACTGCTTGCCTGTAGAGTTCCGACCTCTTGAACCTCGGGTAGATGTCTTCTTTCATTAGAGAATATATCTGTTCACCAAGTTTTTCATTGGTCAATTTGATAAGGTGATAGTATATTAGGAAGTCTTTCATTGGTTGGTTGATCATGTGATTTATAAGGTAGCCTTCCTTCAGCGAGTTAATATCATGAACATACCATCATCATTATCAACAATGCCACATCGTTGTAATATCAACACCATTCATCCTCGTCACTAACATGTTGTTGTGCATCATGGAAAAGATGGACGGAGGCCTGGCAGATCTCATGCTCGATCTTCTTTCTCACATTGTAATCGACATTCACCATCTCCATGGAATCCTCACTCACGTGTGTCTTGTACATCTCCATGGCAGCCAACTGACGCTGACGTCAACAGCATAAATTCATCACGCCATATATTTAGAAAATATAATCTAAATAAACATACCTAGTTTAGTAATATTGAAACATTTTTATCGTGACCAATTATCAAACAAACAAACAAACAAACATGCAAAAAACAAACACACAAACAAATAAATACTCGCACACACAAACTTCATCATAAGATAATTTCTTGTAATCTTCACATTTCAACCAGAACACCAAGTTCTCTTGGTTGTATTCTATCTTCAAAAATTCCTACATCGCAGTCAAACAAAGCGTTGACAATTGAAGGGATGATTAGAAAAATATATTGAAAAAAGTATGAAAGGAACAACCAAGACTTCAACAATAATGAATGACAAATAAAAAAAAAATAACCATCGAAACACATTAACAGAAGAGCCAGTGCAGGTAAAAATTTCTAAAAGCTGTACGGATTTTGCGATTTTTTTTGTACGGTTTGTCGCAGATGCGGTTTCAAATAACCATTTTTGAGAATCGCTTACACAATACTGCAAGTCTTCAGAATAAAACTTTTATCACATCTCCTAAAATGTAAAGCCCCCCCCCCCCCAGAAAGTTTTATATTTTTCTTTTTTGATGTAGATTTTGTGCTAATTGCTTCAGCAGAAGTTAGTTAGAAGGAAGGCTAAAACTTAAAACGAAAATATTGTTAAAATGTTGCTAAAATATGCCTCAAGCTCTCAACCAGTCCAAAAAATTAAATTGATATTGTGAGATGACATTTTGAATTGAGAGATGTGGAATGTCGGATCAGCTCTGAATGATATGCTGCAAAAAAGCGATCCAATCCTCATCCAGACAAAATTGAAGCAACTTTATTCTGTACATTCAATCATGATTTAACTAAAAATTTAGCTCTTCATTGTTTGCTTACATGTAAATAAATTGTTTCACGGTGTCACAATCATCAAATTTAATATCCTAAAGATAGAAGTCCAAAAATTTGGTTGGGTTGAAGAGGCTGAAAAATTTTGTTTGCACAGGGCGCTAATTAACAGCGTGAAGAACATTCGTCATTAACATGGCAGTGTGAGCAAGCAGGCTGAAACGAACCATAAAAATTTGGACTCCCTCTTTGTCGGCCAGCAAATTATCGAAGGAGACCCCCCAGCCGATGACCTTGACACCTCTGCCCTCTTCAAGATCACGACCTTTTTGAGATGACGTGGAGACTTTAGTCACGCTGTGGGCCTGCAGGTTGTGATGTTTTTTCTTCTTCGGGTTCAGCGATGCGGATGATGTCGTTGAGGATTGCAAGGCCGAAGAACTGATGGACTAAAAAAATAATTCATTCACTTATTATTTCATTGATTTTTTATTCGTTTTATCAATCATATTTCATTCGATTGTTCATTCATCAATTCTTTAATTCATTTTCATCTTTCAACCCACCCCACCTCCTTTGGTGTACTTTTCAGATTTCCATCCAATAATTTGAAATGGTTGGTTATCTAGTGGCAATGATGATAAGAATGATGACGACGACGATGATGATGGTGACGACGATGATATGGCATGTACTGTTAATAATGGAGAAAATATGTAACGTGATATTCGAACCAAATGTACTGATGCGTTTAGTCAATGTAAACCTGTTTAATCATAGGCATTCCATCTGATGAACTTCTCCGCTTATTATCATCACATGTTGTAGATGATATTGTTAATGTTGCTGAAGTGATGCTATCAAAGTTAATAGTATCAATGCAATATAATTTGTCTTCATTGTTGTTGCTGACGTTACTGTTGTATTTGTTGATGCAATTGATGTGGTTGTCGATAATATTATTGATACTGTTGATGTTGCTGTTCTGAGTCATTCCATCGTAACTTCTAAATTTCATTTTAGCTTTATTTTTAGTACTGCTTACATTTAATTTCTTGTTACTTCTACCACTACTATCATCATTATTATTATTCTTTCCTAAAAATTTTACGCAAGGGCTTCTAACAAGATTATTCCTAATGTTACTACTCATCATATTGTTGTTGTTGTCGTCAGGTGCATTTGATTTTCTCTTCTTGACATTTTGATCGTTGAAGTCGGAACCAGGATCGCTTTCGTAACAATATGGTCGCTTGCCCGTCTTTTTATGCTTCTTATTCATCTTTCTATTCTTCTTATTATTATCGCTATTATGCTCCTTATCATCATCATCATCATCATCATCTCTAATTGGTGAGATGTTGAGCAAAGGAGGGGTGGATTTGCAACGTTCTTGCAAGAGTTGGCTCTTGTTGTTGATTGAATCAATATTATTATTATTTACGTTATTATTTTTGTTTAAAATTGCGTTGTTGATGTTACTCTGACTAGAAAATAAAGAAATCATTAAAAATGGATTTCTCTTTGCATTTTTTTCTCTGAATTTTTTCTTAATAAATGGTAGAGGAGGCTTTAAAACGCCATGCACCTGTTGCCGTTGTTGTTTCCGATTATTATTGCCATTATTAATATTCTCTTTATTTTCATCACTATCTCTTTGCACAAGACCGCCAGCCTCATTATAATAATGATTGCTACTGCTGTCGGCGTTAATGATGTCACTGGTTTGTCTGTTTGCAAATTTATCTAAACTGTGAACGTTATTGTTATTATTGCTGGTTGTATTAGTAGCAGTAGTAGTTGTTGTTGTTGCAGTGAAAGTAGATGGCGTTGTTACGCTATCATTACAGGATGTGTTGCAATCACTTTTCCATTTTTTTGAAGATTTTGAAAGATTGTGCCTGTTTGATGTGCCCAAAATCTGAAAACAATATAATTATTATCATTATTATCATCATGAGAATGAAGTTCGTCAGCTACTTGAACAAAACGCGAATGAAGATATGATAGATCTCTGGGAAATGAATCAAGCTATGATTACATAAAACCTACAATTGAATTAAATAGAATGTAATACAACTGGCTTGCAAAGTCCTAAAACAACGATAACAACAATGCCATTTCAATCATTTGTCGTCGTCACAACGCTAAGGAATACTGACAAAGTCAATTAAAGATCGCATCACTATTCAGAGATTAATGGATGGTCAAAATCAACATGAAACTACCTGAAATTCTATTCAAATTCATCAGAAAATATCTCAAACAGCAACCGTCCACAAACGCAGCCGTTCAGAATGGACAAACAACTAAGGCGTCATGTTCCCCCTACGACGCAAAGCAAACGAACAAACACCTGCTTTAAAGACGAGGCTAGTCATCTGCAGCCGAAAGATATTCGATTCGGAGCAACAAAATTCTCTCACTAATTATAAAAAACATCAAGTTGCACATCAAACCTCAAAGTGTTCGCTTCCCTGAACTGTTCTCTCCTGAAGACTCAACTATAAATTTCAATTATGATAAGTTGAATATTTCTATTACAAATATAATAAATAACACGGTTTATATATTTTATTCAGCCAAAAATACCATGGTTGCCTCTTTAGTAATAAAATTTGTTTCTAAAAGTTCGCATTTTAAAATATTTTCGATAGGTTCAAAACTGACGGATTTTGCGTTCACACAGACACATGTGATAAATTAAATTTGACAGTTTCCCACGAAGCTCATTTTACTAAATCGAAAAGATTCCAAATCAAAAAATATAAAAACAATCTCAAGAATATTTTATCAATTCATGATTCTAAGAGCTAAAATTTTGTAATTAATACATATAAATTTCCTTCCAAGGTTTTTATAATTCATTTGAACTATCTTTAATCTAAACGTTTTCAGAGGCAGCCTATGCTACATATTGTGATGGAAATAAGAGTTGATCCAATTTTTATGTTAATAATCCATCTTTGTACTGATTTACAAATGACAGGTGATTATATGTGTGTGTGTGTGCTTGCCTGCGTATGTCCGTAAAATCTCATTATTTCAATATCAGAGTTGGACTCTGAGTGAGAAAGAAGACAAAAGAAAAATTGAAGAAAAAACGTTCGCATTAATGAATAAATGAAAAATAAACTAACAAGGACCTCATCTACGTTGTCAACCATGTTTTTATTATTGCTGTTGTTGATGTTGTTAGTGGTTGTGTTGTTGGGACTGTTTCTACCAAAATAACTTGAGAGCGTTCTTTTCAACAAAAATCCAACATTTTTATTGGAAATATTATCGTTGCTGTTGTTGCTTTTGACGTAGTTGTCGTTGTGAGATGAAAACAAAGGAGTGCTAGAAAGTAAAGTTTTCAAATTTGAGATGTCTGCCTCGGCGGGAGAAAGCATCAAATGCATGCCGCTGCAGTCGCCGGGGTTAGAGTTTTTATTTGTATTATTGTTGTTAGGGTTGAAATTATTAATATCATTATTAATGTTATTATCACTGCTACTATTGTCATTATTACTATCATTTTTATCATTGATATGAATGTTCATATTTGGCATGTTGGCAGGCACATTAGATGCAACATTGCTACTTATGCAATCCTTCCCATTGTCAACATTATCAACATCACTGCCATCACTTTTCAAGTTTTCAATCATTTGATTACATTTGAAGTGCTGTTGTTGTGGTTGTGTTATAAGCTCATTACTACATAAAGAGTGTGCTATTGATGCTGTCGATGAAGATGTTGATAACGTTTTTGTTGGAAATGTTGTGGTTGATGTTATCAATGCTGATGATAGTTTTGAAGAAATTATTGTAAACATTGTTGATGTTGTTGATGCTATCAGATTATTACCTTTATTTTTCACTACCTTCATATCATTGAAAGAATTCAAAATATCACTCTCATCAGCATAGCTACATTCAAAACTCTGACTCTCATAACCAACAACAGCAGGCACATTTACAATGCCTTCATTTGACCGGCTAGAAATATTTGGATTGGAGGCCACAATGTCCAATATGGAACCGCCAGCAAACACTTCAGCTGCACCCATTTTATTACTGCTAACCAATCGAAAGCCATACATAGATTGAAGTTGTTCTATGACCTGAGCAACCTCGCTAGGGTACTCCCTGCACGAGCCTTTAATATGATCACGACAGCATTTAACTTTAAAGATTTCATTCAAGTCTGAATGTTTCTCGTGGTCAAGGAAGTCGTTGTCGACACTGAGCACGTGACAAACAAACAGTTTGAGACTCTTATCAAGGTCGTAACCTTTCGATGAAATGTTCCCATGAGTTTGAGATGAGGAGTACCTCGAAATGAGGCAAAATGATTTTTTGCAAACATCCTTGCAGTACCAGAGTTGTGTTGTGGTTGGGCTGCACTCCACCATCACCTGGCCTCTGGTGTCTTTCACTCTTATCAATCTGTTTTCATCATATTCTTTCACCATCTTAATCATCATTTCATCAGAATCATAATTTTCCACCCCATTCATCATCATCATCTCATCATCAACACATCCACCAATTAAGGAATTTTTAAATTGTTTCTGGCAACAAAGGTTAAGTAGAACTGGAGATTTCAATCTCTTGTAGGCGACCGAAGCAAACTTTGCCTTGCTACTCCTGCCATGAGCAGCCACGTAAACAGCCTCTCTGGCCTTCATAAGGACATCTTTTATGTCTTTGGATAACTCTTTTTTTATCTGTTCTTTCGTGTTCTTCTTCTTCCCTTCATTTTTTTCTTTTTTTATCTTGAATGAGTATGATCCAACATGAGAAAGAATAAATTTGCAAACCATTTGCTCATAATTTGATGCCGATGATATAGGGGTTGATTCTAGAACATCACCATGATTATTTTTTCCATAACCATCATCATCTTCATAGTCGTGCTCATCATTAACATAATTTTCCTCCTCAGAAATGTCATCAAAATTCAAAGCGAGGTTATGGTTTGATTTGGAGTACCTTTTGAACCTGAAGTCAACAATGCTGTCTGCGTTGTTGACGTTTGTCATACTGCTATACTTTTCAGGCTTGCTGCTGTTGATGTTGTTGTTGAATCTGTGATGATAGTTGTTACTGATGATGTTGTTGCAGTCAAATGATGCTGGATTGGTATAGTGGATGTTTTCATTGTTTGTGTTTTGCAAAGTGTTAAAGTTGTTGTAATAACTAATGTAACGGTTGTTGTTAACTACACAGTTGTTGTTGTTAGCAAGATTGTTATCATTTTGGTAATTACAATGTTGTTGATATTGTTGTTGTTGGTAGCAATGTTGCGGTTTGTATGGTTGTTGCTGAGGTTGGGTTTGTTGCAGTCTTAATTTTCTGCGTGGAGGTGTATCATCATGATGTTGGCTATACTGAAATTAATGAAAATTTAAAAATTTGAAAATATTTAAAAATGAGAGAAAAAGAAAATATGTAGAAACTAACTTGTGCATATTGGTGAGGCCAACTATTATTATTATAATAGCAATTAAAATTGGTGTTGATGTTATTATTGTTGATGTCAACATTAAAATTATTGTTAAAGGGATTGGTGTGACCTTGGAACTGTTTAACTGGGGTTGTTGAAGGGTAGTAACATTTTTGATGTTGAAGTGTAATTTGTTGAGAACCAGGCATGTGGTAATAGGTCGTTGAAGTTATTGCATGTTGTCTTTTGTTATTGTAATCTTAAATGAAAAAATCATTATTTAAATTTTAAAGTTAAAATTATAAAATATTAGAAAATGTGAAAGTATAAGTTTGAGCTTAAATTTTTATGGAATTGCAAAATGGTTAAAATATCAAAATGTAAATAAAAAAATTCTGCACTAATTATTTGATTAAGAGAAGGACCATCATCATCGTCGTCGTCGTCGTCTTCTTCATATCTGCCAATGGTCAAAATTAACTTCTCAATGGAAGAACCGACAAACTTAGCAATCATTTCGTGATGCTCTCTCGAAACATCCTGTCCATTAATTGCCAATATTCTGTCCCCATAACGCAGGCCGGCCCTGTCCGCCGGACCGCCCTTAGCAACGCGAGAAATATAGCAATTGAACTCTCCATTAATTACAAAGCCAAATCCAGCACATCTGTCTCTTCTTAATTCTACTGTTTTTTTTGGTTCGTATTTGCGCTTTTTAAGAAAATGGAATTTTTTGGACATTTTGGAAACATTAATGAGTTATCTGATAAATAAAAAAAAATCAAATTTAGCGCAAAAATGTATTTAAAAGTAAATTTAAATCCACAACAGAAAATTTAAAAGTAAATATAAGTTATATAATGGGATCAATCAATTAACATTTATCTAGACCAGATTACCATGAAATTACCCATATCTTATTCTAAGTATATGACTCAAACACATAAAATAGCACTACTATACTGGCCCTCGAACGCACTCATGCACATTCTCACGGTTTAAGGTCAGTCATCTACCAAATTTCACCCAGAACATAATTCTCACGAAATGATTCGGGGCCAATGTTAAATGTCTCATACGTAAATTTGAAATTCTACCTCAAATCAACGAAAAGTATATCAAAGATTATTGTAACTCGCTCTACTATGGTCTTCCTGATTCTACACTCTATCTTTTGAGTAAAGCTTTTAACTCTCAGTCAGTCAGTCGGTCGGTCGGTCGGTCGGTCAATCAATCAATCAATCAATCAATCAATCAATCAATCAATCAATCAATCAATCAATCAATCAATCAATCAATCAATCAATCAATCAATCAATCAATCAATCAATCAACCAACCAACCAATCAATCAATCAATCAATCAATCAACCAACCAACCAATCAATCAATCAATCGAACAATCAAACAATTAGCTCATAAAGCACTATTTCTGCGATGCTCATCAGCGCTTTTCAATGAATTTTGCAAACAGATGGGTCTTGAGATCCGCTCTGAATTTCACAAGTGATGGAGAAGTAGCCAGAGAAGTAGGTAGAGTTCCAGCTGCTCGTCTAGTTGCTCGTACCCCTTTCTTTTCTCATATATCTCCATATCTTGTTCTCTTGCACTGGCTGCCTATAAAATACAAAATAGTTTTTAAAATAAGTCTCAGTCTAAATTATTTCCTAAGTACTTATCAGATATATTTAATTGAACCTAAGCGCCTCGGACACATCAAGAAAAAATAGAGCATCACTTGATTAGGAACCTTACCTCTGATTATTAAAATTATGCCCAAATTTCTATAAATTTTATTTTTGATGTAAAGGATGTAATCATCCCATAGCATATCAATCACTGTTGATTAAATGATGCCAGGCCAGATCATTTAGTTTAGAGGAAAGATCCAAAAGGTGTATTTTCTAAATTTTATTCCGTCTATAGAAGAAACACTAAATGGTTGTATCGTAAATAAATGAATGCATATAAATAAAAATTTTTATTACATGCAATTTGAAACGAGATAGAATGATCCGTTACATGCAATTTGAAACGAGATAGAATGATCCGTTACATGCAATTTGAAACGAAATAGAATGATCCGTTAACTTAAGGCATCCGGAAAAGAATATTCAGTACACGCGCCAGACCGGGAAACAATCAAACATCCCGACCCGTGTTAATTTTTGCCAAATGTCCAATGAATATGAATGTCAACGATTGAAACTTAATACTTGAACACAGCATGCGTCAAATAAGACAATCATTTACTCACTGCCATTGAACACATAAATCGTATGTTTGAGATTATGGAAATAATTTATCAAAAATATTTTAACATTTAAAATTGAAAAAAATATTATCTATTTAAAATAAAAAATGATCTATGAATAGGATAACATAATATAAAAATCAAAGAGTGCATGTTTAAAACCCATAAGTTGATACTGCCAAAAGTAAATTATTAATTGCTAGCATAATTTTTACAATAAAAAGATAATCAATTAATAATAATCACACACGCACAAAACCATACTTATAGGAACTTATAGTCCACAATAAAAAAATATAAATAAAATGTATAATCACAAGAGTGAAACTACGCCATGGCAAGCTCATGCAGAGCTGCGTACTTGCCAGTAACATTATGAAATATCTGCCTCTCAATATCCAACAGTAAGGCACTGGCACCAATCCTAAACAAGTTTGGTTTTGTCCAATCATCTCCCAACTCTTCTTTCATCAATGACAACCAGACAAGAGCATCTTTTGCACTTCTTATGCCTCCAGCAGGTTTGAAGCCGACCTAAATATTGAATCAAATGTACACATTTAGCGCAAATTACAAAATTGCTCATCATTAAATTTCAAAAAACTTTTTATATTTTTCAAAAAATCATACTCTGACAGACATACAGACAGACAGACAAATAGACAGAGACAGACATAACATAACACAATTAAATGTTAATAGTTTTATTCAATATCTAGCAAAACCTTTATTCCTGTTTTTTGATAGTAGTCTCTGATTGCTCTGATCATAACAATAGCAACAGGCAAAATAGCGTTAACTCCCTCCTTGCCAGTCGATGTCTTTATGAAATCAGCTCCTTATGTGTTAATGAAACAAAATGGTAAATAGTAAAAACTGTAACTAATCAAGTACACAATAATATAAATTGCTGGTAATGATAGACCATCGAAATAATAATTTTGCAGAAACACACCTATTTGTAGACAATGCTAAGATCAATAAAACTAATAGGAAGAGTCTTCCTAGTGAAGTATTCGAAGAAGGCTAGATACTTTTTGGGTCAAAGAGTCTGTTTACTACAACTACACAGAAGATATTGCAGGAGCCAACAACAAAAGTAACAACAGAACAAACAATTCTCAACAGCTTAAGATATAGGTATAGAGTCACGACGCTGGTGCACAAAATTTAATTACCTAAATATATTTAACCATATAAATAATTTAAAACTGATGAACTGATGAAATACAAGTCAAACAATGCTTGGATATGGTGTTTGAAATTTATAAAATAAAATGTAATTAATTCTTGAAAAGTTAAAATAAATGTTACATATAAAAAAGAGAAATAAATAGCAAGACTTAAACGGACCAGCCAACATGGAAACTACGCTGGCTTTGTAAACGTTGGTCAGACAGCCAAGATCACCGGTGGCCAAAATAACTTTCATGTGAGCATTGCCACAGGCTTCCTTCATTTCTTTCACTTCATCATAGACTCCTTTAAGATGTCAGAATTTTGTAAAGTTTAAAATTAAACAAAGTTTTAAATCATAAGATAGCTGACAGAAGCTATAATCATTTTCATCAATATTTTGTCAGTCTTTAGCATTAAGTGGTTTGAGATATAATTCATCAAGGATTTTATCTAATAGATGAGTAATGTAAATGTAACATAATATCGTTTTCATCACATTAACAACAAACAACAACACACGTTTAGACGACATTTTTCCCGTGATCGGGGGTTGCCGTTTGGCTACCTATGATGAAACCGAAATACCCCTCGACGCCATCCACATCTGTCACTCGCCTCAGTATCACGCAACCCCGCTTTCACCCTGTCCTTCTCTACCTGCTCTCTCCATCCCAATCGCGGACGACCCTTTCCTACCACTCCTTCAATCTCGAACTCCAACGCTCGCCTAATCCCGACCCTTTCATCCCTTCTCAACACATGTCCATACCACCGCAATCTCGATCTCCTTATCAATGTCACAATGTCCTCATTCAGTCCCATCATTGACATCAGCTCTGTACTACTCCTATCCTTCACTTTAACCCCACACATCATCCTCACCATAGCTCTTTCAGCCCTCTGCAGTACACTTTCCTCCTCTCTCCTCAACACCCAAGTTTCACCACCATATACCATCGCTGCTCTCACACATGCTTTATATACCCTGCCTTTCATCTTCACTGACCATTTCTTTCCACATAATACCCCACCCAGCTCCCTAAATTTCATCCATCCTATACGAACTCTAGCCGTAACTGCGCTCAAACATCCTCCATCCGCATTCAGCTTATCCCCTAAGTAAACAAAGCTTTCCACTCTTTCAATACCACCACTCAACCCCGTCCTTGCGTCCGTCCTATTTGCGTCGTTTTCATCACATTACATCATCCTAATTCATAAATTACAATCAGTACTTTAATAAAATGAATATATCTAATTGAATAGTGAGTTAGGAATATTCGTTTATGCAAGTGCTCACCTCTCCAGTTCCCAGTCAGTGCATGTGCACGATTGATAACAACATCAATCTCACTGGCACCATGTTCAACTGCAAACTTAATCTCCTCAAGTCTTGTGTGTAATGGTGTTTGCCCGGCTGGAAATCCAGTGGCAACTGTTTTGTAAAATCATGAAATCCTCATAAAAATAAATAGGAATTCAGTCAATGAGTGGATCAAAAATATTTTGGCAAATTGTTTATTAAATGAATAAAGAGAATAACATATTTAAGTATACCAGATGCAATGGGAATGTTTTGTGCAGAAATTGACTTCAAGTAATTTTTGCTATCTTCAACTCTGTTGGGATAAACACACACTGCTCCACATGTTAAGCCTTCACATTATCAACATTAGCACCAAAAATTATATTAAATAATAATAATGTATTTTTTAGTTGTTATAAAGTAGCTGATTCATTAAAAATAAAATGCAAAAATCCAAATTGTCATTTAACAAATCCAGATAACCTAAATCATCACAGTCAATAGCTTTCAAAAGGTCTTTCCTAACAGGAGAGCTGGCTTTGTGACACAATCTCTGAACATTAGAAGTTGTGTCCTCTCCCGATAAAGTTGTCAGGTCAATGCATGTAACAGCTCTCAACAACCAAGCCAACTGTTCATTCATTTTATTATATTTTTACGTGTGCAAAATTAGGTTAAAATTTAAATAGAACTAAGACTGATGAACTTTGATATGCAACAAAAACATTCATATTGAATTTTGACATTAAATCAAAACTAAATTATTTATTTAATTAATAGAAATTAAAAATACAATGTTACAAATGAATAAAACAAACGAAACCACAACCTGCCATTCTTTCTTAACAGTTCTTCTTCCAGACAATTGTTGAGCTCTTCTTTTCACAGCTGGCAAATTGATGTTCACATTTGCCAGCCATGATTCATCTTAATTGAAATATAATCCATTGAGTGTGGAACAGATATATTAATATTAGTATTGAATGACAAAAATTGTACTGTCCTAGTTATTGATCTAAATTTCAACCTCACTCAACCTGTCAATGTCAACCTATCCTATGTATTATGCTATATAAGCTATATTATATATTATATATATATATGATATGACATGTTGTATGACACTAAGTAGAGCAACCAAATTTCAAAATAATAATCTCAAAAAAACATTCCTTGATGACGTAATGTGTAATCAAATAGAACAACGCATACATATTTTAAAATAAATAAATAAAAATGATTTAAAACAGAGAAACAAATGAATGAATAAACAATAAATGAACGAAAAATTTACCAAATTGAATGCCTGGATTTCCCATTTTAATTCATTAGAGTGGGTCGAACTATTTGATAACCTTGGATTTTATTAACTTGTTGGCTTACTTATGAAATTGCATGGGTATAAAATACAAGCTATATGAAATATTAACTTGACTCATTATGTTTTAAACAATGTAATTGAATTGAATTAAATATTTAAAATTTTCTTTTGTTAATTTGAATATAAAAATTGTCTTTTGTCCTGTGAAACACAGCGGCTTACTGAAGGTATAAGCCATAGAAGCAGCAAAAAGAGCTAACAATACGCTTGGCATGATAAAAAGAACGATTGTTAACAGAGATAAATCAATAATGTTAAATCTATATAAAACGTTAGTGCGACCTAAATTAGTATACTGCATACATGCATAGAGTCCACACGGCCAAGAAGTGTTGGGAAAATTTCAAAGAAGGGCAAGCCGCATGATCAACAATTGTGTAAGACTTTCATATGAGGAAAGATTGAAGAGACTGACAACTTTGGACAAACGTAGAACTAGAGGAGATCTTATTCAGGCGTACAAAATCATAAAGGGTAGGAATAATAAAAAGAAGATTTTTCAGTTTGAAAGTTATTGAACATTGGAAAAAGCTGGACTAAAAAACTGTAACAGCTCCTACAACGAAGGAGTTCAAAGTCAGACTTGGAAGATTGGTATTTTAAATCCATATTATTAGTCACCACTATAATCCTTGTTGTGTTATGTTATGTTATGTAATGTTATGTTATGTTATGTTATGTTATGCTATGCTAGGCTATGCTATGTCATGTTATGTTATTTCATGTTATGTTATATGTCATGTTATGTTATGATATGTTATGTTGTATTATGTTATGTTATGCTATGTTATGTTATGATATGTTATATTATGATATGTTATGTTTTGTTATGTTATATTATGATGTTATGTTGGCTTACTAGGATTGAACTATAGGCACACTACTTTTACTTATTCGATCTTTTTAAGCTTTTACTGTTTTTTTATTTATGGAATAAACGACGTAAATAAATCAAAATTGTTATTTAAACAACTATCTTTATTATGCTCAACAAATATTTTACATCCTGGTTCTCATAGAAAGTGGATGGCTTAAATCATACGTTGGCTTAATGCAACGGTTTACCGGGTCTCATAGAACTATACTGTAGCGGTTTCTTGTACATTTAATGCATTGAAAAAATCAACATATTTATTTCACCATTATATTTGTTATTATAAATTTAGAAATTGCTTTTTGTCAGGTGAAATTATTACCTCTAGCGCATCCATCAATCACCCGTACGAATCAATTAAAAATATTAGGCATCACATTTACTTCCACAATTAATGTAGCACCTCATTTAACCACATCATCACACAAGGTATTCAAAAATTTCACACACTCAAAAAACTTCGCTCAACGGCTTCAAATTATTCGACATCACTGAATCACTCATCATCTCCATGGATCCTATATATCCATGATCATCTCGCATATCAAATATCTAAAAGTACTTATCAGATATATTTTATTGAATCTAAACGCCCCGGTTTACGATCGCATTCTTGTTCTCACTTCTTAACTCGTATTAAACACTTTTCTGCTAAATCTGCATTTGTTTTTCTGGCCCTTTTCTCTAGAACTCTCTACCCCCCTTTTCTGACTACTTCTCCATCATTTACGAAGTTCAGAGCTGATCTCAAGACCCATCTGTTTGCAAAATTCACTGAGGAACGCTGTTGAACATCGCGGGAATCGTTCTCTTTTTTTTCTTAACTTTTGTTAAACACCTTAAACCTGCGTGTGCTTTTTCTGGTCCTTTCTCTGGAACTCTCTACCTCCTTCTCTAACTATTTTCCATCACTTACAAAGTTCAGAGTAGATCTCAAGACCCATCTATTTGTTAAATTCATCAAGGAGCGCCGTTGAACATCGCGGCAATAGCGCTTTGTAATTATTTGATTGATTGACTGATTACGGATGACTCACTATAGTTCGATCTTTTTAACAAGGTTTCATGGTTAATTTCCAATTATCCAGGCTCTTTGTTTATCGCTCGTTTAGGCTTAGGTTATTTAATATCCATGTTAACGCATAGTGAATTGTGTTTAGTTTAGTGGATTGTGTTTAGTGAATTGTATGACATTTTTGTTTTGACAGTTTTGCATTATCAAAACTTCAAATTTATCAAACTTTAAATTTTTTTATTTTAAATGAGCGATCCGTATATGCACAGCGTCAACACTACCGCTGAGGACGATAAAAGGGAAAAGCAGCCAGGCAGAAATTATGGTTGTTACCTAGAAGTTGACGATGACAGCGAAAATGATGAATTGGCAGCAAGTAAGTAACGTGTTTGATGTGCTTTTTTGGTTGATTTTTTCTGCTTTTAAAATTTTTATTATTATAATTTTTCTCTCAGATATATAAATATTCCTCAAATGCTTATTAAACCAGTGGTCTTCAGTTTTTGTTTGAATTTTTTAATTTAACAATTTGTTTCAAACGCAATGGTAAATTGTTCCAAATTTTTGGAAAAGCAATGGTGCATACATCTATCACCCAGTTTTGTTTTAGTTCTGGGGGCTACCATTAATTTACCAAAGATTGATCGTCTTAATTAACTGTGTGCAACCAGTTACTAAGAACATCAAATGTTGTACTACAGATTTCATTCAGAAACTTTCTGGATCCCAAAACAAATTAACTCTGTTTTTTCAGGATTTAACTTCAAATGATACAGATTCAACCAATGACTCATGTTGCCAATGCATTTAATCAACCCTTCTGATATTACCCCAGCATCTTTTGCTAACCCTAACCCCAGGTTCTTTTACCAAACCAGACAGATCTGAAAACAGTTACATTGTTTGCATGGGCCATCTGTGTTTTGTTTTTACTTTTTATAGCTGCTATTTGAAATTGTGCATTTTTATTTTGTTTTTGATTTCAAATATGATTTAATAAAATTTTTATTTATTTTAACATGAACATGACATGATGTCATTTTTTAGCTTTTATGGCTGGCTTGGAAGGTGCTGCTTTCCAGAGCAGGCTTCCCCACGATAAGTTGACAGCCACTGAGGCCAGTTGCTTTCCTGATGTAGCCCAAAGCTCAACTCACACACAGAAGCTTTTCCTCTATATTAGAAATAAATTAGTCAGTTTTTTATTAATCAATATTTGAAATATTCAATAGAATGATTTTTTTGGTGTTACACTCTCACCATGCACAATTTAATTATTAACTCATCTTGTTGATGTCTTTCATGCATATTCTTTAAAACAGAGCTTCAATTATTAAATTTTTGAAATTCTTATTGCATGATAATCATACAATTCATAGAAGATATTGAAAGTTCATAATTGTTTTCATTAGAAAAAATTTGTAACAATTTTTTATGCTATTGTTATTTTCTAGTAATATTTATTAATTTTATTTTAAAGTCAGTAACCCCTAGATTAAAGGATTTTAAAAATGTAATATTAATATAATCAATGATTCATAATTATGAATATAGTAATTATTAATAAACATTTTTTAAAGCTAATGTTATGGTTAGAGAATCCTCTGGTGCAGCTGACTTTCTGCGATGCACTTGCTCAAATTGAGTCTCCTTATAACAGTTAGTTGTGTATAAATCATCTACATTCTTGTTGCCATCACGACCATTGCCTTCATCATCCTCATCACCATCGTTGCCTTCATTTTCATCATCATCGTCGTTGCTATCATCCTTATTAGGCCATTATTTTTATCCTTTTTATCATCTTCATTTTCAGGTGACGGCCCATTTGTAATGAGGATTCATGCATATCTCGAGAGGCACGGCCTCATCAACTTTGGTGTCTACAACAGAGTGAATCCCCTCCCTGGCCAGTCTTTGTTCATCATTTGTATTCCCTCTTTTATCATCACTTTTATCATCATCATCATTTACTCCATTTCAACTGATTTCCATCCATCACTGTTATAATCTCATACCTCATTTCTTTCTTTCTCTCTCTCACTGTTATAATTTTTTTGTTTTATCAGTAGTATTTACCAGTATTATTTTCTTTTTGATCATTGCATCCTTCTCCTATCTCACATTAAAGTCAGTAATTGCAATAATAATAATAATAATATAATATAATAACGTCTTTTACAGTAAAGAAAACAGGAAAAGTGATTGTGATTGGTGCTGGCATTGCTGGATTGGCAGCTGCCAGACAACTTGCATCATTTGGGATGGAAGTTGTCGTACTTGAAGCCAGGGTCTGTCTGTTCACCCACTCTTTTCTTTGTCAACCTGTGCATTTTTTTGTTTACTTGTGACTATGCTTGTCCATTTGTGGATGTGTTTGTCTACCTGTCTGTCTGTTTATCTCCCTTTATGTTCTTATGTTTGAACATTTTTATTTTTCATGATGTGATTATGACTAATGTTCGGTTAGATGGATTGATTAATCAAGCAATGATTAGAATTTACAGATGGACAATTGCTGATGAGACGAATGAATGCCCAAGTATGAATAGTAATGAGTTTGTATGAATGTATAAGTGAATGGTGTATTTGATAGTTGGATGAAAGAATGAATAAATAAATGAATGAATGTTAAACATCATCTGTGCAGGACAGAGTGGGAGGTCGCATAGCAACATTCAAAAAGAACAACTACATTGCTGATCTAGGTGCTATGGTTGTCACTGGCCTTGGTTAGTTAGTTTGCTGGCTGGCTGGCTGGCTGGCTGGCTGGTTGATTGAGTAAGGAAAAAGAATAGTCATTTTATATATAGTGCCATGGCAAGTGATTGAGGCGCATTATTATTATTATTATTATTATTATTATTATTATTATTATTATTATTATTATTATTACAACAAATACGCAATATATCTAAGTACATGTGAATCAACGCATCATCGCACACTTTTGCATGTGATAGTCGGGGAAGAATTCTTTACATTCGCCCCAGGGACTGCAACAGCACCTTAATCATTATGCCATCAAATGATTAATTAATTGAATGATTGATTGTAAAGGAGGCAACCCAATAGCCATATTAAGCAAACAAGTCAACATGGTGCTGCACAGGATCAAGCAGAAATGTCCTCTTTATGAAAGCAATGGAACAACAGTTTGTTTGTTTGCTTGTTTGTTAGTTTGCTCGTTTGCTTGCCTGCTGGGGTGTTTGTTTATTTGAGCATTAGTTTGTGTCTTTGTTTATTCAGTCTTTCTATCAATTATTCAATCAATCAATTAAATAGCTGCAAATAACAGCAATAAAAAAAATTTTAGTTTCAAATTAATCTTTTAAAATTTTATTGGATGGCTGTGTTTAAAAATGGTAAACAAATTCATTTTTAAGTCGTAACTAGATAATTTAAACATCCGACTAAACTGTCTAAACTCTAAAGGTACCAAAAGATAAAGATGAGATGATAGAGAAGGAGTTCAACCGGTTATTAGAAGCAACATCATACATGTCACATCAGATGGATTTCAATTCTATCAACAACAAACCTGTTTCACTTGGCCAGGCCCTCGAGCTTGTCATCAAGTTCGTTTGTATTATTTTTGATGATGGTTATATATATATATATATATATATATATATATGAATATTTTCCTATAGGTTGCAGGAGAAGCATGTTGTTGAAATGCAGTGTCGTCACCAAAGACACATAATAGAGTTACAAGAGAAACTAAAAGTGAATCTACAACAGGTTAATTGCTTTTATTAAATATTTCAAACATTGATTAAGTTTTATTTGTTAAACCAAAACTTTTTGTATATTTATATACCATAACTTTTAGTATATTTATAACCAGCTTTCCATATTCCACAAATCCAACCTCCTTTTTAAACTGAATCATGTTACAAACATACCTGATTTTAATTAGTTATGGAAGCATAGAATTACTTACATAGCGCAATACGCTAAATGGCAGTTTTATCCTTGCAGACAATATAACATTAACAATAAATAAATAATTATATATATATATATATATATATATATATATATATATATTTTTACAATATTCTATAAATTCTACCGAAGGTTTGGCGTTAATATGTTTATAGTTCGTTTTTTCGATTATTTTCACTAAAGTTTTTTTCTCACAAAACGAACTACAAACATATTAACGCCAAACATTCGGTAAAATTTATAGAATATTGTAAAAATTATGGTCTATTACCAACATATATATATATATATATATATATATATATATATATATATATATAAATGATATAAATTTTTCGTTAGAGACTATTTAAGAAATCATTCTTAATGGGAAAATTTCAATAATTTTGTAATGTTGTTTTTCATTACACCGAGTTCTGTATGCAGAATAACTACATTTAAATTAATTGATGTTGAAATTGTGTGGATGGAGAGCGTGGACGTGTGTGTTTAATTTGAATTAATAATTTTATCTGAAGATGACAGAGCAGAAATTAAGAGTTGAGGAGTTGTACAAAATATGGCAGGCTGCCTCAGAAGTGAAAGGGGTTCGGGACATCACTGCTGAGTTTGCTGTTAGAAGCAAACAGAGAGATGTTATGGCTGCTTGTAGGGTTAGTATCTTTCTCTTCTCTTCTCTTCTCTCTCTCTCTCTCTCTCTCTCTCATTCTCTTTATCTATCTTTCTCTCTCTCTTTATCTCTCTCTCTCTCTCTTCATCTCTCTCTCTCTCTCTCTGTCCTTGTATGGTTAATCTCTGTCCCTCTCTGTCTCTCTTCTATTAATAATGGTATGGTGTTGAAGCAATAACATTGATGTTACTTCATTCACATCACATCTTAACAGGAGTTTGATCAGTTGGAGGCACAACAGAAAGAAATTGAGGATAAACTGCAGGAGTTGGAAGCATCACCTCCCAGGTTTAAAGAATTTAGTGCATCATGTGTATTTCTAACCTTGATAATTTCTACAGACTATACAATCAATCAATCTTCGTTTTGCGTCCAGAGACCCGGTTTTCCGAGGTAGGACGTATGGAGGATATGTGTTCTACAAATTATATTCTATTTTAAAATATTTAAGAATGTGAAAAATATCATGTGCAAACATCTTTGCAAGAAATCAATCAATTTTGTGCTATAAAATAACTGACGGAACACAGAACTATATTGGATAACAATTTGGATATGTTTACTTCAGTAAGCATATTCATCAAACATGTTTACTTCAGTAAACATATTCATCAAAAATATTCGAGGGAATCACTTTTTTATTGTTCTAGTAAAAGTTTTGCTGAACAACTATCTTATAAAATTGGTGTTTTTTAATTCATTGAATAAAAATGTAAAGTATAAAATGATGCTACGTTCCATCCGGCTGTGCAAATCGTTAAAATCCAAAACCGTTGACGACTTTATTAATATCCAAACAATAATGTAACCACTGAACCATCTTGGGGTTCCATTGCTTATTTTTTTGTTTGTTTTGCATTCATTCAAAATTTATGTGCCATCGAATGTTCTTCCATCCCAACCAAACAGTGATGTCTACCTATCATCACGTGATCGTCAAATACTCGATTGGCACTTTGCCAACTTGGAATTCGCGAATGCCACACCCCTTTCAACGCTGTCACTCAAACATTGGGATCAAGATGATGACTTTGAGTTCACTGGCAACCATTTAACTGGTTACCATTATAATTAATTTTTATTTTGCTGTTGCAGTAGCAATTACTGTATAGCAATTATTACCAGTTGAATATCACTGATTGCTTCTATGTGATTTTTTTTCAGACAGTTTTCTCGTTGATTTGAAATAATTAATATTTTAATTAAACAAATAAATTTTACCACCAGTTAGGAATGGTTACTCGTGTGTGCCTGTGGCAATGAGCGAGGGATTGAACATACAGTTGAGTGCTGCTGTCAGAAAAATAAAATATTCAGATGCCGGTATTTTTATTTCATGTTCTGCTGTGTTGTATTTCATTGTGTTATGTATTGTGTTGTATTGTAGTGGGCTGTTGCTGTATTGTATTGTACTGTATTGTATTGTATTAAGTCCTGGGCATGACATAAAACTGCATCCACGCTGCCTTGCGTGCTTTTAAGCAAAAAGCTAGGCCCACCGCTTATAACTGGTGGTTGTCGTCAGGATGGGTGTCCGGATGTAAAAATTTTCCCCCAAATTCTATGCCATCACATAGAAAAACAACGGCCCCTAGTCCCCAGCAGGCCTTGAGTGGTCAAGGGGTGCAAAGAATCCCTAGGAAGTATGCAATAGCGGAGGGATGTTGCAGAAAAATTCAGAATGACCCCTCTATGGTACTTAGACTTGAAATGCTCAATGTTGGATCACTGACTGGCCGCAGCATGGAAATCGCAGAAATGCTCGAGCGTAGAAGGATTGACATCTGCTGCCTTCAGGAGACTTGATGGAAATCGAATGGTGTCTGTCATGTCAACTCAGACAAAGAAAAATATAAACTATTCTGGAATGGTCAAAAGACGGCTAAAAATGGTGTTGGAATTTTTGTCAGAGAACCGCTAGCCCAATAAGTACTGGATATTAAAAGGATTAATTCATGTCTCATGTGGATCAAGCTTCGCATAGAAAAGCAAACAATGACTATTTTTTTCTTCATACGCACCACAGACAGGCAAATCAGAAGAGATGAAAAATGACTTCTAGGCTGCGTTCTCTGACACCATCTCAACAATACCAAAATCTAAAACAATCCTAATTGGAGGCGATCTCAATGGCCACGTTGGAGAGAAAACCAGATGGTGGT